ATGAAAAATTCATCCGCATTTATTTTTTGTGTGGAACACAAAAAATCAAATTTCAGTCTTATTTTACATTTTTTTCATTCTTAGGAATGTCAAAATTCAGTTAAACTAGCAATTCCGTATTATATTTATAAATCTTTATAACATTATACAAAAATTAGATTTTTCTTAAAAATTGAAATTTTGCCGGGAATGGGGCTTTAATTTATACATTAAATGCATATAGGCCTACATGCATGTAACTACTGCCCTTTGGAAGTATTGAAAAACTTGCTGGTAAGCCTAGCGTAATGTAATTATGACTTAACTATTAAATTAGTAATATCACAGAATATTAAAAATGTCTTTTTCGGAAGGGTTTAGGTGCCAGTTCAGGTCCAATGTCTTGGGGTTGTTGCCTTTTCTTGTTTTGGGTTTTTTTTTTTTATGGATGGTGCCTGGGAAGGGGAGAGGAGAAGGTGAGGTTCTTCTAATCAAAAACTTAAGTATCAATATTTAAAAAATGATAAGACAAGGGTTTCACTTAATTGATTACGTCACCATTTTTTAATGCAATTTTTAGTTAATTCTCAATGTATCTGAACAACTACTGTAACATACAGGTCTCCCTCCAATTAAAGACCACTTTTGGGACTGGGGTTTCCATAGTCTTTAGTAGCTTTTTTCTCAAATTTGAATAATATATTAATAAAGATAAATGACATTGTTCATTTTTTTAACCACAGAAAAGTGGTCTTTAATTTGAGGTGGTATTAATTGGAGCATCTGTGGGGAGGGGGAGTAATTTTATAGAATATATTTCAATAAAAGAAAAAGAGTTTTTAGGCTTTATTTCCATTAAATTTTACACTGAAAATAAAATGTATGTCCAGTGATGGAAATGGCCAGTGAGATAGATAGCCACTGCTTTTATGAGCAAAGGAGAAAATTCTAATTATAATTCCAATCACTTTAGTAAGGAAGGTTGTAAAGGGAGAAAATATCATTGTCGACAGAAGAATGAGCAAAGTGGCACTGGTGGTAGCCATGAAGAAGACAATGGAATCTTCTATGAAGCTTCTTGAAGAAGCAGAGGCTGTATACTGAATGAAAACAGTACTAGTACGGTAAAGAATATACTTAGTGGCCTTACATGTAGGAAAGAAGGTATTTGATACTTATCTCTTGTTAGTATGGACATGGTATGGAAGTGTAGACCTACTGATGAGTTGCCAAACATTTTATTTTATAATAGAGACAGATGGTAAAATAATATAATGATGATAATATTAAAAGTGCTCTACTATACTAAAGCAAATTGGAAACAAATAAAATTAAACACTATATTTTGTTTTTTTTAATAGCCTAGCTTAGAGAAGTTGATGGGACCCAGCTAAAAAAACCAAGGACTTTTACAGTACTGTACCTCTACATGCCATTTAATATACAAAATTTTGATAAACTATACAGTAGTAAACCATCATTTCTTCTTCCAAATACTGTATAACTATAACTGCTAATTTCCTATGGATTTATGTCAGGAAGGTTTTAGAATTAATTAGGCAAGCCCCTACTTTTATATTGAAAGGTAGTGCAGTAGGAGAGTATAGTCTACAAGCATTCAAATCAGTGCTTTTAAAACTTTTCTAATATATTTCTGTTCTTTGGCTTTAATTTCACTGCTGAATTACACTGTTCAAGTATACCATTTAGTTCCAGAATATTTCTAAAGCAAAGTATGATAAAATCGTTTCTCAATGGCATATTCATCATCCTTCAATACTAAACTGTTTTGTCAGTGAATTTTTCATGGTACGTACTAGTCTTGATGTGTGGAATGGTCATTAAAACGTGTCCATGGTACCTGTACACGCTAGGCCCCTTAATCTGTGATACAATACAACAGCGGTAAAAAAAAAACTAGTGAAAAACGAATCGTGTGATGGGCGGTGTTGTGTCAATCTGGAGGTAAAGCATGTCAATATTTGATGAGCGTCTGAAGCATAATCATTTCATTATCTGTCATGTTGATATGGATTTGATTGATGGGTTACCAAAAGGCAAGTCAATAAAGAATGACTTAGCTCTGAACCTAGACTTTCAGACTAAACAATATTCTATATTGTGTACAGGTGTAAGATGTGATTGTAGTAGTAGTGCTTTACTTGTTGTGTTTCAGATATCTCTTTCATTTGCTTTAGGGACAAGGTATGTTCATTGTGGTACAGTTGAGAAACACTAAATACTCGCTAATCTGTACCTAGATCTTAAGTTTGTAGCATGTGAACTAATATTTAAAGATGTTATATCCTTAAACATGACATTGGGATAGGAGCTGATTTCAAGGCAGCCTTTTGAAGGTAATAAAAAGGCTGTTGCAATGGACAAACCACTTTAAGTTTAAACTTATCTACTGTACAGTAGGCCCATCTTAGACACATTATAAATATTGTAGTTTTAAATAATGTAGGCCTTTAAAAATTAAGTTAAATTTTTTAAGTTTCACAACCTATATAGTATAGTAGTCATGATTATAGTATCTGCTATAAAAGATTTGCTAGAGCTGTTGCTAATCTTTTATTAAGATGTAAGTCACACCGTAAGAAACTTATAAATTCAACAGTTATGGAAACTGAATTATTTCATTTGAATGTTTCTTTCCCTCTTCTCTACACCCTCTTTTTGTTTTGGTTGATCTAATCCTTCTGGAGTACTAGAGAGTGCCTAGAGCCCTCCTCCTATGCATCTGGTACTTACAATTTCTAGCAATAAACACATTAACATAACACATGGTGTGGTCTACTGAAAGTTTACTTATTAATGTATTAATAAATTATGAGTTTAAAATGCACAGTTTTATTTGAGTGACCAAAGTCAGAATAGGCTTAATGAATAGAATTGATTAGAAGTCTGCAAGATACTAGTTATCAAGCAATTAATTGGGTATGTTAAGGCCAAGGTAAAATAAAGTAATTTCTTGTCCTAATATTTTGAAATAAGGAGAATAAGGACACTTTTTTTGTACTCCGAGATGGCAAATCCAAGATGGCCGATGGGAAACAGGTCTACTACAGTACTTTCTCACTTTTACCAAAAGGAAATGAAAGAAGCACTAGCCATGATTTATACCATTATCCCCAACTACAAATGATCGAGAGAGGAATTTTACTGTTTGAGTTAGCCAGATTTTCGTACATTTAAGTAAAATAAAGAAAATAAATTTTTTTTAAATGGTGAGGAGAGAAAATTGTTGTGCGAGGGAATGAGAAACTAGTAAATAAGTATGGGTTGGGTAAAGAGTTTATGACTACTGTATACCAATGATACTGCATTGGCATGAAAACATGTGCATGGCCATTAACAATTTAACAATAGTATATTATCTAGAAATCAGCAAATATGCATGTAGAAAAGTAGCAATAAATGGTAGTCGTTGCATAATATCAATATGCAGGTAATAACTACTGTATACTTCATACTAAGAGTGCCTATTAGTACTTAATTGATCAATTATTAGGTTGATTAAGATTAATGTACTGTATGGCAAAGTGCTAAGTATTAAATGTGTGGGTTGTATTGCACATTATGGTTGGGATATGTTGACACTAACATTGTGTTTGTTAATGATTTAAATGTGAACAAGGCTACTTAGAACATGGAGGTATAAGCTTAGATCAAGACCTTCAGTGGAGAGTGTACAGAATGGTACAATAGACCTACATAGTAATTAGTCACCAGGTTTGCATTTATCCATCTAGTCTACAAAGTGCTATTGGACTACTCTTGGCAAATATGTATGGAATTCCAGAATAGTAACACAGTACTTAATAAGTCCTGCGACATAAACCTAATTACTTCACACAGTATGATGTACAGTATGATACGATCATTAACCAATGAGTTGCTGACTAGGCTTTCAGTAAATTATGATGAGGAATTGAATTGAATTTTATAATAGAGCTAAAAAAGTCAAGATATTTACAAGAAATTAAAATTTAAGCAGAAATTTTAAGATGTTATTTTTACATTTTGATAGTTATCCTTTCATCAATTCATTGTTTGTGATCTAACATCATTAAATTTTTCTCTCAGCAATGAAAAACCCAGTTGTTCAACGTCAAAAGTTCAACAAATTTCTATTCTTCCACTATTATTAAAAGGCACTTATATTTTTGATGATAAAAATTTCAATAATACAAAGATGGAGCCCTTTCTTGCTATATACAGTACTGCAGAACTTAAAGATTCCTGCCTTGCTAGTCTTCGAGTACAGGTTTTTAATATGAGATTCACAATTATATAAACTAGTTCATGTTTTCTGACATTTTCTGTCATTTGCAACATCTGCATTAAATCTTTTTTCACTCTATATTATTAATCCATTTAAAATACTGTTGGTTAAAAAGGAGATGAGCGTAATTCATCATCATTATCGTAATTGAGCATTATGTAAACAGTTTTTTTTTTATTTGCACGAAAGTGGTGGCAGTTTGTCTAGATTAATCTTCCGCTCCCTTTTTTCAACATGGATCTTAATTGCATAGCAACAACATTTCTATATAAAATATTGCAATAAACTACAGCACATATATTTTATTCAACAGTCCATCTAAGAAAGAGCAGCAATTGATTTTAATCGGGAATCACGTCACATGCCTAAATATGGTCATGATGACATCACATGACCATATAGGAACATCATGACTATATATGGGCACATCATGACCATATATAGGCACATCATGACCATATATAGGCACATCATGACCATATATAGGTACATCATGACTATATATGGGCACATCATGACCATATATAGGCACATCATGACCATATATAGGTACATCATGACTATATATGTGCACATCATGACCATATAGGTACATCATGACTATATGGGCACATCATGACCATAGGTACATCATGACCATATATAGGCACATCATGACCATAGATACATCATGACTATATATGGGCACATCATGACCATATATAGGCACATCATGACCATATATAGGTACATCATGACTATATATGTGCACATCATGACCATATAGGTACATCATGACCATATATAGGTACATCATGACCATATATAGGTACATCATGACCATATATAGGTACATCATGATCATATATAGGTACATACATGATTATATATGGGCACATCATGATCATATATAGGTACATCATGACTATATATGGGCACATCATGACCATATATAGGCACATCATGACCATATATAGGCACATCATGACTACATATGGCCATAGTTTTTGTCAAAGAAAATTTGATAGTGTGGATAAAGCTCTGTAAGATTTAGCCTAATTACAAATAATTTGCATACTGCAATGTTTCTCTTATTGTGATACATAAACAAGAATATAATCTCAGATGTTATTTTGTCTATATTTTTTCCTTATATTTGATTTATAAAAGTGGTACCGGTAGCATATATTTTAAAAATTGTTTTTTATATAATATTTTGTTTTTCATCACCTAAATTGTTAATCTTGGCTGATTCCTTCTAAATTACAACTTGCATTGTATTCATGAAACACAATTTACCTGAGAATTGTGAACCACGACTGATGGTGTGTCATTCTCATCAGAAATTATACCACAATAAGAAATGAATGGATTGTGGTACAATGGCGAGTACGTAAAGTATCTTAATTTATGATGAAAAATATTCATATTGATGTTAAAGTAAGAGTATGAACGTATACCTATGATTATTGTTATATGCCTTACCAACCATGCTATAATTGCATAATCATAATACATACTCAAAGCATATTGCAGACTAATAGGAATTTACAGACAAATGCATTTTAACAGTACCATAAACTTTTGAGATGATGATATATGAGATAAAATGAATGTTAGCATATCGTAAAACCTTGAATAGAAGCCCCGTGGGTTTAACCTCGAGAAGAAAAACCATCTCGAATTGAAGCCCCCTCTTTAGTTTGCAAAAGTATCTTCGAAAAAAAGCCATCTCAAAACCATGGGCTTCCTTTCGAGATAATACAGTACATATTGTACACTGTACAGGAATTTAAAATGAACGAAATAAATTAAGAACTCTGGTTTATACAATAGTAGGTGATTTAATGCTGGTTAATACACTTCATGATACAGACTGGTATTATATTGGCCTTAGTTATTGTTTTATTAGTAATTCCTAAAATTTACAGTATTCATTTTGAAAAAAGAAAAAAAAAAGAAGCCTATCTGGAAAAGTCCATTCATACTGTAGTTTCCAAAAAAGCCTAGGGCTTCTATTTAATAATAATAATAATAATAATAAAACATTTATAATGCGCTAATTTCAAGTAAATGATCAAAAGCGCAGAGAGTATTTGAGGCTTTACGTTAGATTCGAGGTTTTACAGTTAGTGTAATTGTCCCACTTTTAGGAGTTGTATCCCGCTGTCAGCCTGTTATCTAGCCTAGTAATACAGTGTTGTAAGTTATTCAAAATCAACATTAGTGGGTGGCTGGTTTACAGATCTGCTATTTATAAAAAATCTTGGTTTACAGTTTATTTCTTTCATGAAGATTGTGTCAACAACATATTCTACGAAACAAGATAAAACTAAACTGGGGAGTACTGTACCATTCTTGGCATATTGCAAAGTACTCGCGCTGATCTTTGTGGCAGACTTGCAGTGTTTGTTAATTAAAAGAACATTGATGAGTCTTATTGCCAGGTCACAGGCCTACTGTAGTACTATTTTCTCGCTAAAATTAGAATGTGCAATGAAACCATTTCGTCCTTTGTTTCTTCAGCTGCCTTGAAGAGTTGTATTAAAGGAATAATAAAGGAATTAGAGCAAATGAGTGGCCTTGAGGTATTAAAGGTGAACTGTATTCTTTTACATTGCAAGTACTGCATAGGATGTATAGCAGTGCTACTGTAAAATGCTGCCATGAATCTTTGTATACTGAAAACATTAGCTTTTTTATTTTGCAATCAAAACAAATTTTCCACAAAATGTGCTTGAGAAAAAACAGCATTTTAAATAAATTTATACATTTCTTATTGTCTATCTATCAGTATAAATTCATATAGGATTTCTAAAAGTGGTATTTTGGGATTGGTAGTGTAAAATGTATAATACAGTTATTTATTATAATAGCATAGTAAAGAAAAATAATGGGGATGAAATGCGTTTCATTGCACATTCTTTTTAGCGAGAAAATAGTAGTAGGCCTATGACCTGGCAATGAGACCGGGCAATTAATACTTAAATTCACATTATTACTATTGTGAAAGATGTTTATGGAGGCAAAAATCAATCCAACTATGTATTGATAAATTCAGTGATGATTCCCTTCCATGTGTTTGACAAATGATCTTATGAATTTGATCATGGACCTTTATTGATAGGTATGATAATGTTTCTTTTTTAACTTTCGATTTTTCAGGGCACTGGTGTTATCATCATCAACACATTTGTGAATAGTGAGGAATGGAGGCTATAGTAGCTAGCCAAAAGGTAAGCATTAGCTTAACAAAATATAGTTTTCACATCAAAAATACATATGACACAAATAATTGCATTTAATAAAAGATCAAATTATTTTTCATTGGCTTGAAAAGTATGAATAACTATTTAACCTAATCTAATCATTTATATAGCGCCTTACTCATCGAAGCACTCTAAGTTTTCCCCCTGGTCATTGTGTCCACATGCTTAAGTGTTGCTGCCATATTGGCGCAGTAGCAGGCAACCCCACAAGCTACCCATTTATACTCCTTCGTGGAGAGATGCAACATAGATAAGGTGCCTTGCTCAAGGACACAAGCGAAATGTACATTTGCATTGTACTGTTTTCTGCAACAAAATAATACTGAGTTGCTGAGCAAAAATAGTTTTCTATCTTTGAAAAGCGTGTAAAATAAGAACAAATTAAGAACATTTTCAGACACTATGTCTGGGTGAAATTTTACTGGTTCAATTGTGTACCATATACCAGCAATATTTCACAAAGCTTGATGTAGATAGTACTTGAGTACTTAGTGCATAAACACGGATTTAGGTAAACCATTAATCCTATAGGATATGTGGATAAACAATAACTACTTAGTATTGTCTTTAGAGCTCAACTAGTAATCCTCCTACTGAATAAATTGACAATAACATGTAGAGGATCTGGTATGATATGCTCCACCCCTTAAACCTCATAAATAAGACTTAACTTTATACTTTGCGTTCAATTCTGAATAAACATTTTCTGAGCTTTTATCGATGTGAACAGTTTCAATGACGTCATTGCATTGTCAACGAAAACCCCAATGTATTCTGAACAGAAACATAATAGGTTTAATGATTTAAAATTTGCATTAATTTTGTCCAATACTGTATAACTGTAGCTTTTTAAAGTCGGTCTATTATAAATTTTTAAACAAATAAACAGCTTGATGATGACTTGTGCAAGTTTAAGCCTAAGGTCTATTGTTCCATCCTGTATAGCAATGTGGAGAGAACTTATGTTATCATTCAGCAAACATAACTTTGAATGCTTCTGTTCCACTCTAGTTTTTCAATACCATAAAACCTCGAATTGAAGCCATGGGCTTCTTTTTTGGCTTCTTTTCAAAATGAATTCTGTTAATTTAGTGAATTTGTAAGTACTATAAAACAATAAATAAGGCCACTGTAACATCAATTTGTATCATGGAGTGTATTTAACTGGCATTAAATCACCTAAACTACTGTATAAACCAAGCTTGTTTTTAATTTATGTTGTTTTTTGAAATTCATGTAGAGTAATATCTCGAAAAGAAGCCTATATGCTATCTTAAAAAGAAGCCCATGGGCTTCTTTTCGAGGCTAATTTTGCAAAAGAGGGGTGGGGAGACTTCAATTCGAGATGGGCTACATCTCGAGATTAAGCCCACTGGTCTTCAATTCAAGGTTTTACTGTAGGATGTAAGCTGGGTGGTTGACTGACTGAGAAGTATAATTGTTCCTGCTTCTTGTGCTGAAGACCCTTGAAACCTGGCTAGCGTCAGGTTTTATCTGGTCACTTGGCTCCTTGAATCACCCTCATATTGAGAGTTAGGCGGGCTAAGGAAAATGCTTGGATCTTTTTATGTCCGTTATATGTTTGTATTTAAGTTGTTAGTTACTGGAATTTGTATAGGTTCAGCACTTGTTTGTTAGTTAAACAAATGGAAGTAATAATAAAAAATAAAATTATATATATTTCTGTTTGTATATTTTGTCATAATTATAGGATGTAATTTAGAATTTACAAGTTTTTTTTTTGTCAATCAATGTTTATTAAATTATATTATTAAAGCCAAATAAATAAGTTTTTGGCAAAGGTGATCTTTAAGCCCTTTCTACACTATCATCAAATTTTTTTTGACAAAATAACTTGTATGCCTAAATATAGTCATGGTGTGCCTATGTATGGTCATGATTATGATGTCATCCTGACCATATTTAAGCATGTCACATTTTTTTTATCAAATAAAAGTTTGTAGTGTGGATAGGGCTTTACACTGGGAATGTTTACTTTGTAAGTAGAATGGAGGCCAGTGTTCTCCCGAAGCCGTTTTAGCTGTCAATTTTACCAGTAAAAATAACTGACCAACCAGTAAAAATTGTGTTGGTAGAATAAAAAAGCACATTATTAGGCCTAGGTTGACTAGGCTGCCCTTCTTTCAATAAACAAACATCATTCCTTTCCAGGCCTGAGCTATGATTACGTATTATTGTTTTTTGAAGCCATTTAAATCCACTTAAAATTGGCAATATCTGAAGTTGTGTGCGCTTTAGCTGGCTCTATATGGACAAATTTACCAGTAAAAATTTTTCAATTGGGAGAACACTGGAGGCTACAGTATTACAATTAAAGTATACCCTTGTCAAGTTGTAATGCTAGATGTTTTGCTTGGAATGAGACTTTACGATCCACTGCATAGCGTCACTACAGTAAACAAATTAATTATAACTTTCTTGACGTAGATGAGTGAAGGTGTCTTAAACAAAGCCTTAAGTAGGCCTACAGTGCAATTTAATTTATTAATTCACTCAGTATTGTAAAAAAAACAAATGGCAATAAAGAGAACTTTATAGTAGTAATACTGTCCCCATCTTCCTCTGTTTTATTGCATACTGTATTTTGTATTATTCATGGCAAATATGTTGAGAAGAATGACAGCTTAACACTTGACTGTAAAACTCAAAATGCATGATAATATGAATATCACTGGTAAAAAGTACAATTGTATTTTCATAGAATTCACTATGAAGTCAACAGTAGAAAGTGACTTTCTACTGATCGACTGCGAAGCTACATTAGGGGGAGGGTATTGATTTTAGATAAGTTTACATTGCACCACGTGTTGTGTCAGGCTGGAAGGATATAATGAAAGCAAAATAGCCTTTAAACAACACAGCCAAAGAAAGGCCCTAGCATGTGATCAATAGGGTTTGTGAAGGTTTTTGTCTGGTGGTCCTAGCAAAGTTCAATATAAACATTACAACGCTAACTGTGATAGCCCTTGAAAATCTAAGTAGACTTTACATTAACTTTCGCAGTCTATCACAGTTAACACTACACACACACACAGTTACAACTCAACTGTACTCAGATGAGACTTTTTATTCCTTTTTTCGCATACTTATTTTTAAAAGTATCAGAGGAGGGCAGAATAAAAATAAAAATAAAATTTTGTTTTCTTATTTAGCAAACAGTTTTGCCAAAATCATTTGGACGGAGAAGAAAATAAAAATACAATTTTATTGATGAATGTAAAATAGGATGGTTAAATGCTTCAAATTTATATAATTAGGAAGAAATATCATATCTTATCTTTGGGGATTTCAAGGCAGCGGAGGGCATAATAAAAATAAAGAAAATTTTTTTTTCCCTGAAATTTCCACTTTTCATAGCGACGGGTACGCTAATTGGCAAAAAATAAAATTTTATTTTTATTAGAAATCATCAATATTTGAAGTCGGCGGGTTCGCTAAGCAAGGTATAAAAAAAGTCTAGCCTCACTGGTATTAATACTTTAAAATTCATATCTTATCATAATTAGATTAGTTATTGTAATTATTTTTTATGAAAATTCATTTTATTTTTCCAAATCAACAAAATTGATTAGTTTTTTTTTTATTGTGACAAAAACATTGATTGCAGTCATCACTTACATTGGACTTGTATCATGAAAGATTGACTTAATTTTTTTATTGTTTTTAATATTTCTAAGTGCTTTTCACTGAATGCAAGATGATTTTCAAAAAAGGAACCAACAGGAGAAAGTACAATACACTGTATTCAAATTTGTTAATAAATGCAGGTTTGTGGAAAGGATGATGAGGTTACACTTTACTGTAAGTTTAGAAGGAAAAAAAAATAGTGTTTTTAAGTTCAAATCTGTAAGTGAACAGCCTGGCATTTCATGCAGAGAAAGAGATAATGGGCTTTAACACAATTATCCAACTGTTGCAGAAAGTTACCATTATTTTGACAAGTTAATATGACAAATTTTATACAAATTTCATTATAGCTTGATAGTATATCAAGTGTCAGCCATTTGACAATGTAATGTACCTTCGTTTAACATTTTTGATACTGGTATCATGTGTGGTAAAAGGGATGAAAATGAAAATTATCCAAGATGGCCGTCCTCGGGGCTGTTCGTCTTGGCGCTGCAATCAATGTTGTAAATCCAGGTATTTACCCTGTTATTTCTTATACAAAAGGGGATGATTTCCCCCTCAGCAGTAGCCAAAAAATAAGTAACAAAACAAAGTATGAGTACTGTAAGAGATTAAAATATTTGTTTCTGTTTCATGCTCAATAACATATTTAAAAAAAAAGGCTAAAACTGTGAAGTTTTCATGAGGAATAGCCCAGCTGTATGGGCCCAACAATTGGTAATGATACATGTACCATACAGTAAACCTCTTGGAACATAGGTTGTGCCTTTTCAGACCATATAGTAGGTTCTTGATTGCTTGCTGCTCTCACAACCCCGATAAAAAAGTTCTGAACCTTCCGCTGAGTGTCTTTATAATAATATTACGAATTCTGTGATTGTAGACTTTCTTTTCCAGGCCTAGTCTTGGTAAAAGTAAAAGTAAATAGGTATACTGTAGTCTATAATCTGAGGGTTCTAAAGTATAGAGACAGGCAGCACTTGAAAAAAAAACCAGCTTTGTCACTAAGACTTAGTAGTATGCACACAGTGCATTTTTGAAGTGCACTTTGGGCACAAAAGTGTGTGTCTTTTGGTAGCAGTATGCACAAAAGTTGTATCACAATAAATGTAATGTCTAAAAGTGATATGATACAGGTACAAGTCTCTATCATTTTGTTGAATATCTGGTTCAAGCATTGAAATGTCTGTTTTGTCAATTTGAGTTATTGCCAATAATGGTATTTATTTCATACACATTTTTATTTTGCAATGAAATTTTGCTTACAAATTACAGTAGGCTTATATGTACTTCTTGTAAATTGCAATATAGAATGC